GTTATACTACCTATTATGGCACAAACAACCTTACCTTTTTTTTTTTTAATAATGTAAATTATACAATTACTGATGAGGTATAGTGGTGGTGCTAATTTTATATAAAACTTAATAGTGAGATGAAATTACACTACCTACGTGAATGAGTGAAAAAAATTTGAGGCATGGCATTTCTTCTTGTATAACCTACGATTTCGATCACTGATTGACCAAAAATATAATAATATTGATTTGCGTATCTCGACGTCAATCACGTGAGTTGTTAAAAAACTAACAAAACGTCGAGCAATTAAATATTGCACCAAGTATAGAAGAAAAAAATACGCATACTTTATCGTCGTTCGATGTACTTGCATTATAAGTAAGTACATATAATATCGTTTTGCGTTCATATAATAATAAACACACATTTATATATATACTATAAGATGCTGTATATTATTATATTACATAGTCAGCGCACACAAACTACTGCTGCGGCGGCAGCGGCGACGACGGCGACGTTGATTACATTCTGTGTATAAATTAAAATCGAACTTGAAACACACATAGTTTCCAAGTCGTGTGACCAAGGCATTTATTTTCCCAATGCGCGCGTGTAAAGTGTGTGTAGCTATATGTAAAAATCGTGTTCGCCGCTCTTGTTCGGGTCGTGTACAGATCCCTATCGGGTTTAAAATGCATTTTACGCGCACGCACGCACTCAAACGCGATAGATAACGACGATGACGCGCTCGTCCCGGAGCTTATGGTTTACGACACGGAATATATCAATATTGTCCAGGCATCGGCCAATATACAACAGTGTTTTAGGGACCTGAACGCAATGGCCGACGGACGGATGCCGATAAGCGTTTTTAATACACACGAAAATTATGTTTATTTATCTGATTCACTCGGTTTGTTGTCGTGTACATAATATTGTTATTATGCATATTATGGTAAAACTGCAGCTGTATAAATAACGTTAATTATAATTATACACTCGCGCGCGACGATACTCGTCGATTGTTGTCTATAAACCGCACGCACTCGTACAACAATATGGTATAGTAATGTTATTTAACATTATAATTTTCACGGACCTTACTGTACTAGGCAGTAGTACAGTATATGGTCTAAGATAACATTATACTGGTTCGGTGTGCGTCTGTGCCGCGGAACTGTGCCGAGATCAGAATGATTATTTTGTACGACTATATACCATTATAGTATACTTACTACTTAGGTGTATTCCAGCGCGCAAACACTATTATGTAATATGTACGTATTATTATAAATTTATAATATAATAACGTTTAAGCTGGTGTAACGTTAATGGCCTACAATCAAAATAAACTAATGTATAATATTATAATGCTTTAATATATTATATATTATTATATAATGTACATTATGTGCTCGGTTTGATTTAGTATAAACATATAGATAGTTTGAATGTAATATTTTTAAGCGCCAGAGTTTAACGCGATAAATGTGTCTTAACGATTTCTCCCAACTCTGAAAAACGAACTAGCAAATCGCACTGTCATTAATAAATCGACTCGTTACCGTATCACTAAATTATTATTATTATTATTATTATTAATATTTTAGAAGCATCTAAGAACCTAAAACCGTTTTAGTAGTACTTGTTTAGTTGTTCTTATTATAAAATTGTATTTTATTGATGCAATAAATAATTTTCAGCGAAATCATAGGTTAACTTTAGTAGGTCTTCCAATTTTATTAGGATAATATTTTTGTTAAACGTCCCCGTCCCCTACGAATGTGATGTTTTCATGCTTATACTTAATTTTATGTAATATCGTTATGATTTTAAAATTTAAAACACACTTTCAATATTATACGAGTCTAATAGCTTTATGCTGTTTGATTTTTTTTCTTTCATTGTAACCCTAAAATATTTCATATTACAGGCTGCAGTGATATTTAACGATTAGTTTTTGATGATCAAATAATTACATAATATATTGTTTAGACTGTTTTGAGAACAATTATCTTCAAAGTTTTAACCAAAAAATCATGTCTTTATTTAATGATAATGTACTCAATTTGGACATAATTTATGCAATAAAAAAATATTCAATATCCAGTTTGTAATTTTATTGAAGATCCTTTAAAGTCCAATTTTAGTCACAAACAAGTTAAGGTCGTATACTTGTATTTGTTATGATCATTTATCAATAATTATCCTATCCTTGAACATTATCATATTATTGTTGCAACTTATTTCAATTTAGACTAGCATCTATTTAACGATATAATTCATGTTTTTTATGTAACCCATCAAACATCAAACCATCAAATAGATATAATGTGTATATTGTAGATAATATAATATAATCTGTTTACGCTTTATGTATATATTAATTATCATTCTTTATGGATTTGATGGTATCATTATTATTTTAGGTAGTGTGTGTGTACCTTCAGGTAACTATAGCTTTCGGAGTTGCCAGAGATTTTATGATAATTAAAAAATCCACATATTTTAGTATCACAAGTCACAACGTTCGTTTTCCATATCTGTTATTATCGAACAATTTTTATAATTTTACAAAAATTTGTAGTCATTATAATTAAAAAACAAGAATTGTCACGTGCTGTTCTGTTAAAATGTAAATAATAATGATTATATTCTATGCTAAAAATTTAACGACAAATGATTTGTCCAATAAAATCTTATTTTAATAATATTATGTTTGTATTACTATTTAGTCTTTAAATTGTTACTTTGGGTAAACTATATTGGACAATATCGTTTATGATATTTAGAGGCGTTAAAATTAGCCGATGCTGTCCGTACTGCACAACATAAATGAAACCTTTTATTCAAAAATAATTACAAGTTGTATGATATAATAGTATCGTTATTATTCAATAGAGTCAAGACAGTCATATTTTTCGATATTTTGTGTATATGCTGACAGAATACTCGATTGGGGAGACGGAAAAAATCTAGTTCAGTGTGCTCCAATTGTTAACGGGTTTCTTTCGGCAATTATATGAAAATTCTAATCAATTACTTTTCTGTCCGTCTCTTATTTTTTTTTACCTACCAACAAACTGGTTCTCAGTGAGTTTAGTGGTAGTAATTAGCGTCGGTCAAGCGAAAAAAAGTTTCAACCTACTGGCTCATCATCACGATGGTTAAACATTTGTCTAATCATTCGGGTCCATCAGCTATATTACCTCTGTTGGCAGCATCTACACGTTTTTATTCACGGTCAAGTTAAATAAAATTCACTTTTTAAATAATATTATCGATCATCTTGGTGTCAAATTAAAATATTGTTTTATTCGTGTTAAAATGTTCGACTGACTTATAAAACTTTTATTTTTTTATTTCATGATTTAAAATATGCTACAATTATAGCATGATAAACATAATAATATCTAGTAAATAATATTATATAAATAAGTGGGTATACCGTATACCTACATATTATACATAATAACACTAGTTATTAATATAACGGATCTTTCAAATTACAAACTATTCAGACATTAAGTCATTACTTTTTTGTCTTGAAATGTTAAATAAAACAAAATAATTTTATCTATAATTAACTTTTTGTACCTATGCATATATAAATATATTATATGTATTTGATAATTTTAAACAGCTTTATTTTAATCTCAATATATAATCATGTTTACTTTTATGGCTTAAAATTTAAATATTTTTAATACATTTAGTAAAGCTCATATACCTACAATAATTATTTTATATTTATTTTCATAATTTAAATTCTTGACTAAAACTGCGTACCTACTAATGTCTAAAGTATGTTTGAAATTTTATTAAAATTTTTGTAGTTTTATTTCTCAATAAATAATATGAATTACATTTTTAACCATTTTACAGTTTATTTCGTATAAATTAATTTATGAATAGTATTAAGTATTTTTTGTTATTATTTTACTATAGAATTAGCCATTTGGTAAACTTAAATTTTGTAGAATACATATTTCATAATCCAATAACTATAAATACTTACTAGAGAAATATAAAATTTGAGTTAAAAATAATTTTAGATTTTCTTTCGTATAAATATAGAAAATAGTAGATATACGTGAATAACTTGATAAAAAAATGAAAATAGTTTTGTCGCTAGGGAAATATCGTTGCTTATAAATCTAATACATAATACCTAGTCACAATACATTTCAATTTCCATTTTATTCCATTTTTATATCACTTTCGTTGTAATTTTATTTTATACTTATAATTAACTTTTTCTTACAGCCATGTGAAGAACATTTTAATATAATATACGACTTCATATGTCTATTAAATCTATGCCTGAATAGATACAAGCCTCACACACTGAGTGTTATTAAAAAAAATGAAATAATAATCCTGAAGAACATTACCACCAACGTACAACTCATATATAGTGTTAAAGCCTCTTTTGGTGTATATACTTTTACACTCGATTATTCGCAAATATTACTGTAGGTAGGTAAGTACGCTATTAAACGTTGCGGGTCATTATGTACAGACGAGTACATAATATAATATATATTGTATGATATTAAGCTGACATTATATTATTAATACTCCTTACCTCCAGAAAATGCGTGTAAGGGTTGGGAGGTACATCTATAGTGTGCTTAACACACGCGTGAACTACAAGAGTTTAGATACATGATGATGTGTAGGTATACATGTGGATACCCATGTAATATAATGACGATAAGCTTTGATAAAGTGTTCGACCAGTACACACGTCGGATAATGATTTTTTTTTCGTACGTTCGCGCGTGATCTTGGCCGACACATGTAAATTACGTATATTATTATTATGTACGTATACCCGCGTTGTGTGTGGCGGTCAAACTCTTTACGGACTCGCGAAGAGACATTGCCCTCGATTTTATATACTGCATCATATGTAATAATAAAACAATAAAGTATAATAGTGTATAAGATATGTAATATAGTATTATGTGCATAATAAACTTATTTAGATGGTATGTTTTTTGTGTTATAGTTTCTGCGGTGCGATCGCAATCGGCAGTGATCAATACTTTTATTATCACCGAAAAATCATTGCCAATACTGTCTTACGAGTGAGTACAATTTTATTTTTCAATTTTGATTAAAAATTATGTATTTAAATAATATGTTCAATGTTTATATTTGTTTAGTAGTTTCACCAGTTTTAAACGCGCGTAATAACTTTCAAACACTGTTATTATCATATATATCATAATAATTTATTAAATGTCTTAATAATATAATGTATTCGATATGATTACTAAATATAGACCTAATTAAAAGTCTGCTATACACGCTTAAAAATCAGTCACAATTTATCATATTACAGCAGTCGCTGCATATTAAACTCACGATTAATGGACTGATTTGATTGTTAGATTTAAATAGGCTTGTTCCAATTTACAAGTACTACTAATGAATAAAAACAATTTTGTCTATTAAACCACTACACTCGACAATGAGGTTAAATATTTCCAAATTTTCAATAAATTTTTCCGATTTTATCGCATATAATTTGATGATTAAAGATTTTTCTTACCTAACTTAACACTTATTAGTATATAATCAAATTATCTAAATCAATGTTTTTATTACATTGCATAATATGTAGGTACCTATATATTTTTATTCTTGGATTTTTCGCCTTATTGACTCACTTGGTTAATGGATACAAATATTTGGGTTTCAAAAAGAGTCCAAAAAACACTATACTATTATATTATTCTATGACTTATTATGTATACTATTTTTAGATTAACTTTTTTTATTATTAGGATGTTGTAATGTAAATTTTGTTTATTTAAAATCAATTTCTATAACATAAATACATGATTTATTGTGTTTTAGTATGTATAATATTATATTACATTTAATGGCTCAATAATCGGATAACAAAAACGATCACTACAATGGAATATTATGCCTATTATAGATATATGTTATCTGTATGTAATATATTCGATTATCTAGCACGTATATCTGAATATTTTCAAAAAAAAAAACCCCATTATAAAATTTCTACCGTTATCAATTTGGTTGTATATTATATTATATTATATTATTTCAGAAAGGTACTTAACGACAATTTTGAATTTAAATTATATTATATAGTATAGGTTTCTGCATGATATATAGTGTTATTTGCTTCATATATTACTTTGGAAGTAATCTCTTAACATAATTTTTATCAACTATTGAGATTTTCTCATATTACTAACATGTATATATTATGTAAATGTAAAACTGTGTATAAATTGAAATATAATAATACGAAACGGAGTTGAGATGAAAGTAAATTGGATTACATGTTTGGTTTGACGTTATTATACTTATTCAGTATAGTGTACTACTACATACAACGATACTATTACTAATTCTATATACTGTATCTACTTGTGGAATACTACCTATACCATTCGTCGGCGTTTACGACCAAACCAATTAGGTTTATCGGTTGAATAGAACAATTCAAAAGTGGCTCGTGTTCGATGAGAGAAATAATTATTATTATCCATTTCCTCTTTCATAGTATTTTATCACTTTATTAGACGGGTCGTAATTACGAGTAAAATTACTAGGTTTGATTACCGATAAACACGATTGTATATATAATATACAGACGTCGAAATCTCCTCGATTACAGTAAATAGTTGGGCCGAGCATGTTAAGTATTTTTTTTTCAACCGTCTTAAGTTAGGTGATAGATTATTCAACGATTAATAACTTTTAAAGTTAATTTTATTTTTTTGTAACTTTTAGAAGTTGGTACGACGAAAGTTTTAAGTACATTGCTAAATAGCATAATATTATACACAAATTGGATACATAGTAGATAACTATAGTGATCTGTATCGTTTAATTAAAATATATGATGGATAGATGAAAAAATAATTTTTTTTCCGTCTGTGGCTTACAAGTTTACAACATTAATTGTTTCCGTGCCGATCGTGCGGGTGGCGTAAGGTCCGTGATTGTCCGGCCTGCCTCAGCGCGGTGCAATGAGATAATGGTCCTCACGCAGATCATAATGACATCACGTCCAACACACGCCGTTCTATTTATTATTATTATTATTATTATCGTTATTATTAATGTAGTTATATATATATAGGTGACCAATGTGTATATAACAACCGATCGTTATTATAAAATAACAATAGTGTAAAAACGGCGTCTCTCAAGTGTTATTATTATTATTTTTTTTAAATATAATTATTATTATATCGATACAAACACGAATTTATTATTGATGGAACTAACTATATCGTAGTATTACACAGTCGGGTTGTTGTGCAGTGGCGTAACGGTTGACGCGACTTTATATATTTAGTATAATATAATATCTAAGCACAAATAAATCCAAATTTAAAAAACTTAATTAGCCGCTCTAGTTTAGTTTATGTTATTATAAAACGTGTAAGTCGCGTATGATTAGATTTCACGTGTAAAGCAGCAATTGATGGCGATTACTTCATATATTATTGGATATTATATAAATGGTAGTTATGTTCATACAATATATATCTCAATGATTTCGTTTAGAACATTATTTTATAGAAAGATATTTTGATATAGGCACAGATATATATTAAAAAGGCTACCTTTTGATTTTATCAATATTTTTACTAACTACGAGAAACGACTTAACTAAAGACAATAGTGCGTGGTTTTAATGAGCTCTTCTCTGAATAGTTCTCCGAATTCAATGAGTGTTTTAACATTTATAATATCAATAGATTCAACTATTCTGCTTCGAGGTCTTCTGTATCCTGTTGTATTCCTATCCGTTATAATACATATTATTTTATAGAGGTATTTGATTCAGAGTCATAGGTGGAAACGTAAATGAATAGAATTTATAAATTCAATCGGCGATGTTGGTGTATTTTAATTTGGAAATTATGTAATGATGATAACAATTAACATTACGTTTATTCGAGTTCGCGTTAAAACAATAGAAATTACTGAAATAAATAGTAAAATTTTTACGAATAATAGGCTAATTTTCGGTAAGATATTAATCGAGAAAAAAATCAATTTCTGTATAGTTCCGTTATATCAGGTCGTTTCGGTTTATAGTCTCATAAATTGTAGGCATATGTGTAGTTATATAGGCATATAGCTTATATGTATAAGATTTATAAAAAGGACGCGATACGTACGTCCATCATGGAATTGTGTATATAATATGTGTACGAGATTTTCGGTTTAACATATCAAAAACACGAGAGGGAAAATAACACAAAAGAAAATAAAAAACACTAGAACCATTTTTATGTGATATGTTATAAATTTATGATATTGTCAGTGTGTTCTATATACCAACCTATACCAACAAGGAAATAATGATCTTGAAAGTCTTGAAACAAATCGATAACGAGCTGTAACACGCATGTAACCAATAGCGCGACCAATTGATGTGTAAATGTATATACATAGGTACCGATGTATATTATATATCTAGTATAATATAGCTTATATATAATTTTTTAGGTACTTGTAAAACGTTAATATGTAAACACATGTGTAACATTTTCATTTTTTACGCCTGCTTTTTATTTTTGTAATAATTGTATTTTTCAACACACGATTAATTAATAATATAAATTATAATATACAGCAGTAAGTTATGACCCCTGTTCTCATAAAATATCATTTGTATAATATAATAAAAATTTAGTGTAGGTAGATAAATATAACGTAATTCAGGGGCTATTAAGTTTTCCGCGTATCTAATTTATACGGTTTATTAAAATATACATTTATCATAATATTAATAAAAACCAAAATTGTATCAAAATTAGAATGTATTATATTAAATGACTTTTGAAACGAAATCAATTCAATAATTATGAATACGACTAATAATTTAGATGGCAATGTTCATTTGATTTTAATCGAACATAAATATTATAACCAATTTCGTTCATTTACATAATATATATATATATATATATGTTTTATTGAATCTAACATCACGTTAAATATATAATAACACCATATGCAGATACTTATCTATATTTGATGAAACGTAGTTTTGTATTATATTAATATAATTTTTTTAATCATTCGGCATAACCATTTCCGTTGACGTTGAATAATACAACCGGAAATGAAGAGTTTTGTGTTTTCCTAACCTAATGGTGTTAAATACGAGGTCATCGCAGAGAGACCTCACTTTTCTAACAGATTTTCCAGATTGAATACGATTATACAACATATATATATATTATGTATAGTATGCTTGCACGCTGCCAATAATATTGTATTGTGCAGTATTTTAGAAGCATCATTTAGACTGTATCTAATATAAAAGATTATTTGTATATTTGTATAATTCGCTAAATTTTTTTTTTGTAAATATCTGTTTATCTGATATGTTTAAGGCCATCAATTATTATTATCGTATACGAGTACATGTTTTTTTAAAATCCCCATTACATAAAGACTTTTAACCTCCAATATTAGCTTACTAAAATCTTATCTACAGTTAAATTGTAAATATAAGTCCACCTCAGGAGATTTGATAACAATATTTACCAAGTTTTAAAGTTTATAAAATTATTTAATTACTTTAAAAATCTTTATTAGTTTTATTCCAGACTTTTATTCTAAATTTAAAACAGCTTTGTTTTCGATTCAAAATACAAATCATGTATGTCATATTATATTTTTTTGTGTATGCGTAACGTATGTATAATATACATATTGTATTTTCTCATAGTTATACATGTGAATATTAATTCTAGTTCATGCAATTGTTATTACACAGGTACAACTGTTTTAAATTATTACTCTTAAAAATTATAACCGTAAATGAAGTAACTGTATGATAAAATATTTAAATTTGATTAATTTTAATTTCTAACAATTGAATAAGAATATAACTGTATTCTACAAATGATACATTGACGTATATATTTAATTTATTTGAAAATTTACATCTTCATAAAACAATACACATATTTTTAAATGATAATTATAAATCTTATCTCTTATCTATGTATTGTTTTTTAGATATTGTTAATATTAATTAAAACAACAGTAAAACATTTAATAAAAAAAGGGGAAA